TTTCTGGACGTTGTCTCTCGATGTTCTTGCGTATCGAACAGTTGCGGCCTATGAAATTCGTGGATTGAACGGTAGAGGTAATTGAATCGTAAGTGAATCTTCGTATAGTAGTTGGAAATTAGTTGGAACATTGATCGGAACACGATGAGACCATTATACTCTAATCTTCTCGGCGATTTTGTTATTCCAACTGGAGCTCGGAAGTACCATCCCACGTCAGTTGCACGGCACATGTTGCTTTGTACCTTTGAATCTCGCGCAGCGTGATATTCCGTAAGTGCCCCAAACGGAGGCATGGCCGTTCAATTAAATCGCGCGTTCGTAATCGTACAAAGGGTAACAAAATCGCCGGGACGTGTTGCCGTCAGAACAGAGGGAGGCTCACGTTCTCCCCATAAATCTGCCAGACGCAATGGCAGGCAACGTTCCACCGGCAACAAAGATTCCCGGCAGCCGTGACACGGCCGCGATAGCTGCGCTCCGTCCTCCGAAGGATTAGGCCGCGCCGAGTGCATTAACTTTATTGAAACCCACCGACTGGCTCATTCCATCCGAGAGGGCGGTATCGGCTGAAAGTGGCCGCCGCATTACGCTGCCCATAATGGACGGCGGTTAAGCGTAAAGCGATAACATCAGCGTTGCTTATCAACTCGGCCGTGCGTCATTACGCGTCCGCCATTATACGAATAGGATCATATTAACATTGACGAACTGGCGGCGGCTCGCTAGGCGCGGTTACAACCCGCGGACGTGTAGCTCGCAAGATAAAACGACAATTTATGATAGTGAATGTTAATTAAAGCCTGGCGGTCCCCAGATATCGTTTACATCCGGCGATCGATACGATGTACAGAGCGTTGAAATTTTACCTCTTGAATCGTTGCGAGTACGCTAAGAATACTTGAACATGCTTCTGTTTGTATATTTTCGAGCGGAACAACGAAGATAGAATAGGAATGTTTATTCGGATCTTGCGGAACAGGTTTTTCGCGAAATTTCAGAGGTTTAGATTAATATCGAGCGTGGGGATGTGTTCGATGGTGAGGTTAGTTGAAACACTCGGTACACATGGTAGTGAATTAGTAAAATTCTTGCCTTGCGTTCGTATGTACGGCGTGTCTGGTAATATTCAGACTATTTTGTACATCCAATTCGACTGAATAGGTATGTTGACTTAATAAAAAACGGAGGGAGAAAAGAATCCCATGAAGATTTGAAGCGTTGTAATAATTTTCTAATCGTCTTATCGCAGTAACGTACTTAAAACTCATTTTTTTCGAAAACGGAGGATTGTCAAAAAAATCTCTTATAACAGACTACCGAATTCTACACAAATCCACATACCCGGTGCAATAAAGGAAATTACAAAAAACTGCGTATCTTTGTCTCATACCTAATGTACGAATAAAGTTGTTACAAGTATCACCCGATACTCGGTACACACGTGAACAGATACGGTTCCGAATGCGACGCGGAAAAAATTGCTACCGATGCACGAACGAAATTGTTGCGCCTATCGAACATTTTTCGCCTGCAGTAGTTCGATGTGGCACGGGAACCGGACGTAATACCGCAGAACGACAATAATAACTCGCCTCGTTGGCCCCGTCGAGAGATAGACACGGGGGCTGGATATTTAATGCCCCGAAGGTATTAGAACGGAACGTGGCGGTTGTTTGAGAATAATTGAGAAACCGTACGTGGGGTGGCAGATAACGCCGCGGCGCGTCCCTGTATGAGTAATGCCGAAACAGACGGGCCCTGTGAGCACGCGTTCGCGCGCGTGTATTAGCATATCGGCCGCGGCGAGACGCTGCGGCACACAGGCGAACGAAAAAAGGCGTGTAGAATGCCACTGGATCGTCTGTAATTAACCCTTTGCGGGCGAAGAATCTTCTCCGTGGAGTAATTGAATTATATATTGACATCTTGACGCTGCGACTGCCACACAGTCGAGTCAACACTGCGTTCCGGTTTATTTTTGGGAAATTGTGATGGCAATTTTCAGTGTCAACTTATATCGTACATACGAAAGGTGAGATATATTGTTGTGTAATGTATTTTAAATAGATAATTAGAATGAAATTTAACCCTTTGCGGACGAAACTTCTTTGAAATATGGAAAACCGTCAGCAGATGAAGCTAAATTATATATCGGTTAGATAATTGGAAAAGGGAAACTACGTACTGATCTCTTGCTGTTTTAGTAATTAAATCGTTTTGCGACACTAAGTCGCAAACATGAACATCTGATCTCGCCAAAATGACGTTCGTCCGCAAAGGGTTAATATTCTTTAAATGCTGTGGTGTTTGGGAATGTTGCATAGGTAAGTGTCTCGTTACGTGTTAACATTGTTTAACCTGTTAATAGAATGTTTGAAAGTGCTTGAGCTTTTTATTTACTCGTAGTTGCTTGCGAATTAAGACATTCATTTCTTTGGTAATCTTAGGGAAACATCTATTTGATCATCGTTTAAAGAGGAATGTAGAATTATTTTGAGCCATCTGATAGTGTTAGCGTCAAACTAGAGGAAAGTGTGCATCATTCCTACGTTGTTTAAAGAATGGAATAATTTCCTCGGAAATCTCATTTCAAATGAAACGCTAGGAATGCGACGATGTCCACCGTCTAGGATTCCAAAAAGTATTGCTGCGAAAGTGATTTTCCACGAGTGCTTGGTATAAAAAGTGCAGACGAATTTGAGGGGCAACGGGGGGAGCAAATCGTTGATGAAATATTTCGCGCTTCCATAAATCTCATTGTCGGGATTAAAAAATTCCTAACGGATTCATATTCCTTTGACGTGGAACTGCAGAAACGAGAGTTCGAAATAAACATACTTTTCACGGCGATGACCATTGAAGATCGGGGAAACAAACGCTTCTACGCGTTCAAACTGTTGTCCCTAAAATATCAAAGACGCGCTTCCGTCATCCACGATTCTCCTTATTCAAATTCATCCCACTCGCCACTTGAAACCTTAGAATCAATTAATTAATCCCCGTGCACACAGGACAGCGAAGAAACACCATCAGCAACGCGCCCGAACGTTCCCTCAAAGTCACCATCGGGAAGCGGAACAATTCCCGCGGATCGCAACGAGAAAACAATAAACTTCCCGTCGAACAAAGAACCCATAGAAACCGGGATCAAGACTTAAAGCGACGCGCGCACATCCCCACGTACAGGCCAGATGCGTGTAACCGAGGATCGGTGTTTCGGCTCGCCGCTTGTCACGCGAAAATCGCCCTTAGGCCGTTCGTTTCGTGAACGCGGGCAAGAGTTTCGTTCGTTCCGCTCGCGCTGATTTGTTCGGC